GGTTAAAATACATAAACTCACATATATACAAATTTCTCTAAATTTAAATTATAGGTTGTTCTGATTAAATCAAGTTTCCCTGCTTTCATGCTACCAGATTTCTATTTTGAGAAGTCGTGTATATATATATGTGATTATTTCACAAATTTGAGAATTTAGAAGATGACAGCATTAAAGTATTCAAGAAACTCAAACCACTATTTCCTACTTTAACTTTTTCTGCAGAAGAAGTTGAATCCCAGGAGTATTTTTAAATTTAAGAGGGCAATGGAGAGTGACAGAACAATTGGCAGTCAGGCTGTTCTAATTCTCTATTAATCAAAGACTATATTCTTTCATTCTTTCAGCTCAAGGCGAGGACACGCCTAGAGTTTCTGTGAAAAGCGAAGGCTCCTGCGACACAGAAAACTCTACAAGTCCTGATGGTAAGGTACATAAGTGATTTGAGCTCCTGCAGACTGCAAATCTGGCACATTTTCTGAGTGTAATCTCGGATTAAGAGAGCTATCTATTCTATGCATCAACATATTTAGTTAGAACAAGGTAAAGTTCAAAACCATTTTCTACTAGAAACTAATAAAACTGGCAGCTTTTTAAAAACTGACGCTAGCTCAGTCTAAAAAACAGCATTGTGCCTCCGTTCACTTGTACCTAGCAATACTGAGGCCACACTGGGTAATTTCAAGGCTAAATTGGACTGAAGTCTAGCTGGTGAACTTGATGGAAATATCACTTACTCCAGAAAGTGCTTATTCAACTGTTACTCCTGCTCCTTCTGGAGCCCTGGCTTGAGTTTGGGCTAAGGCAGTTCCTGGAACTTCATCGCTTTACCTCACTGTATCACATCAAATGGTTTGGCTAAAAACATAGCGAGTCTTTAAAAGCACCTTAGAAATATATTTATAAAACCCTTTTTTTTTTTATTACCATCTCATTTTGAAGGTATCTGAAGATTCTGAGCCTCAGCAATATGAATGTACCCTTACTCCTGTACAACATACCCTTTGAAATGTCATTACTTGCATTAGAAAAACTGCTATTTGAGCACACTTGATTTAATAAATATTTAATTCCGCTGTCCCACAGAGTTTAGGTGAACCAGAGTTGGTCAGTGAACAACTGTTTTTATACGTCATGCTGTTTATATACATTGTGCTATCTAACCTTCCCCCAACCCCCCTAAAAAAAATGGAGATTACTTTGAGGTGATAACTACCTTGGGAAAAATTCAGCCACTGGTAAAAGTTACTTGGTGATTTTAAATAGAATTTTCTACGATACTTTGTATTTCACCATGTTACATGCTCTTTTGCACAAACTGATTTTTTTTCACTCGTGGGCATATATTATCTAGGAGAGTAATGTTTTTGAACATCAGATCTATCCATTAAAAGTCACCCCACATTAGTCATGCTCAGTTAAACAAAACCTGCCCCAACGTAGTTGTGACTGTATAGACATAGTTCTTAACTAATTTTTTACAAAGCATGTTCTGAAGAATAGCGGGACCATACAATTCTCATTGAGTAAAAGGAAAATAAATGTAGGAAATCATAAGTTTTAATACTTGCTAGGAGATTCACCATGCATGTTATAGGCTCTCAAAAGTCTCAGCTGTAAAGAAACTTATTCACATAGTTTAAAGTCGCTTTTCTCAAATTTAGTTGATAATGGAATGCTTTATTTAGTAACATTTATTAATAAGTTTTGGAACTAGTGACCCTTGGGTTGGAGGAAGAAGAAGAAAAAGAATATTTTATTCTGCACACTCCCACATTGAGATGGGCAAACTTATAATAACTTTGTAGACCAGGATTGAAAGTATACATGTTACTCTCTTTATAAAGGTAGAATGTCATTCCTTCTTTAAAGCTTCTTTGGGGTGTGAAAAACAGCATCTGCCACTATTTTACTTGAGTCGAGATTTCGTGTTCAAGAAAAAGAGACTTGAGTTATTGATTTTGTGCAAATAAATGAAAGTTACCCAAATGAGAAAAAAAAAAAAAACAGGTTTCTTTTTTGAGCTTATAAGTGTTTCGACCATTATCACTTTAGCCAACTCAAAGGCAGGCAGGGAAGTGGGAAGCCTTTATATTGAAAAAAGGGAAGGGTCAACGCATCCTCTGATTGGAGGTTGTTGGTACGAGGAAGCAAGACTTGGGCTAACCAAAAGTGGAGTATCTTAGGTGACTGGCTTGAGAACATACCTCGCTTTTCCTGGTTGGTCCTAAGTTGAAAGCATGGGGCAGAATATGGGGAACCTGGCAGTCTCTCACCATTCTGAGCTAATGGCTGCAGCGGCTATGGTTGGTTGCCCAGGCTGGTTGCTACAGAGGTTTTAAATCTATATTCTATTGTTACATATGGTCTGGCCATTGTCCTTTTTTATATTGTCTCTCGGTTTATAATATGGGCTTTGATGCTTTAAAAATATCAATCTAATTAAACCTATTGACCCTTGAAAATTTCCAAAGTGATTGCTATGCCTGCTCTCAGCTACTTCTGGACAATGGCAGTAATTATGCATTCTATTTTTATGCAAGTGCTCACTTAGAACAATACACACAGTAAAGTAAAAGCACAGGTTTTATTTCATCATTGCTGTGTGATCTGGTTAGATGTTTGGCTTTTCTATTTCATGGGGTCCATTGCCACTGCACCCACGGGCAAGTTTGCAGGGTCTGTTTTGAATTTCAAAATTGAAAACATGGCAAAACAAAGAGTCTTATTGACACAGTCATTTCAGAGGGAGCTGCTTACCTCTGCAGGTCAGTGATCTCTTTTGCTTTGTTTTCTCTTTATTTTCATAGACGTCTATTAAGGCCTTTGAATTTACCTAAGAATGGTAATAAATATACCCAAAATGTCTACCCCAAAAGCTGGTATGAAACGACAACTCAGCTTTAACAGTTCAGTAAAGAGGCAATTTCATCCTCACCAATAAAAATAAATAAGAATGGTCCCCAAATCTGAAATGAATGAAATGAACTGAAAAAAGGTATAAGATAGGAAATCAGAAAAGTATAAACTCATAGTCCATTTTAAGGTGTTTAAGAGATTGGGGTTTAATAAATATTTAATCTTTTTGTTTTCCTTTCTGGTTACAGTTGAAATGAATAGTCAGGTTGACAGTGTAAATGATCCAACAGAGAGTCAGCAGGATGATTAACTAATAGGTAAGTGCCCCTGTGGTGGGATTTTCAATTGATTAAACTGGCCATAGGAACTGTTTGTAAATGGCCTATTAGATTTCCCTCTGCTCTCCCAAGTCCCACAGCATGGTTACGGCTAAACTTTAAAAATCTTTAGACCAATGACACAGTATAAGGAGCAGAGATTACTCCAGGAGCTTACCATCTCTAAGGAAAAAAGGTAAGACACAGCATATTGGTTTTCTGAGCTTTGACAACAACAACAAAAATATTTTTCTACCCATCTCACCCCGTGGCCTCCTGGAGTGATCAAATTATTTCAGCAACCCCAAACTGATTCTGAAATATTACTTTTCCAAAAGTTACCTGCTGAGTTACTTTAGTATATCTGTTTTTAAGCACTGCACTAAATCTTTGCTCCAGAGAATGTGTAAAGGCTCTTGGGTATGTTTGGGCAGAAAGAAGCCTGTCTTAGGTCCTAACCTTTCACACCACTACCTATGGATCTGTGTGTCTGTACAAAGGTTTGTTGAGTTGAATGAGCCTCAGGGAACTCCCTAGGAAAATGAAAGTCTGGGCTAGATCATGTTTGGGAGTTTTTCCAAACCAGCACTAAATCCCTCAGCAGAGACTGAAATATATCTAGAATGATGAGTGGTCTGTAAAGCTTTTCCATATCTTGAGGCCTGGTGAGAAGAATTAGAAGAAAGAAGTCAGGCTCGCTATTCCAATTACTAGCTTAAAATACTTAGCTGTGAAAAACCCTATGGAATAAATAAATTGTGGGTCATCCAATATAAGATACAAATGTGCTGACACCACTGCCTCCCAGCACCTCTCTGTATTCCCTGTATTTTCTCAGTAGGTCTCTGCACTCTCCCAGGAGGCCATGCTGCACCAGACTCTTGAGCTCCTGCATCACAGCATAATACATTTCAAGAATGTGTGAAAGTACACACACATCTGTCCTTCCCATCATGGTCTTGAACATAAGTTAAAACTAAATATAATAACATTTGCATAATACACGTACAGCATAGGACCACTAAAAATTATAAACGCATGCAAGTATGGTCTTATAAACATTTCTTCTGTTTTTGTTAACCTTATTCATGTATTTTAAATATCCTGCTAAGCCGAATAAATGATACAGTAGAGGTGTTTCCATTAAAAATAATGAAGTGAGACTAAACTTGAAAATTTTAAATATACATTCTTCAGTGTTGCCTTACTTTTTGCCTTTTTGTTACCAACAAACTGTAGATTTCTTGTCTAGATTTTTTCTTACAGACACTATTATTTTCTTGTGTGATCAATATCTAGATATAGTACCAGGACAAATCTGTTTTCCTTGGTAAATGTCAAAATATTTTCCTCAACCATCAACACCAGTTTAAAACTTTACACTAATGCATTGTCAAAATTTAGCGTTCAAAATTATTTTAAGGAAATTCAATTTCTGGAAGAAGTGGTTTTCACAAGATCACTTAGCTGATCAATGAAGTACACATATTCCCAGTACAAAATTCTTTGATGACAGCTCTCACAGAGAACAGTATAACCTGAGAAACTTCACTAATTCCCACAGAAATATTCACACAGCTAGGTTTGTAAAGGTTATCTGGTAGATCAACAGGAAGAAAGAAATTAACTTTTAGTTTTGTGCATCCTACCTTCAAGCAAATTAAAGAACTACAGTGAAATTGAGTTAGAATTGCAGAGTTCCAAGACACAATACAGGAATGTTTCATGTTGTATAATTTATAATTGTAAAAAATCAGGGTTATCATAAATAACAATAAAGGAATAGATTAATGAACCAATAAAATATTCTGCAAATATAAAAATAATTTTTCAACAAATATTTTGGGGAGCATGGAAAGATGGTTATGGAATCTAAATCCTTAGTTCTAGAGAAATGTGGCAGGTGAAGTATGGCTTTCGGAGTGGGCATTAAGAGGCCTTGTTACTTCCATTTTTGCTCACTCAGAATGCTTGCTCTTAGAATCCAGCCACCTTGTAAGAAGTTCAGGCTTTTCTATAGAATGACAAAGGCCACATAGAGAGAGATCCTGGAAACCGAGAGGTCATCTTTGATGTTCTGGCCCTGGTGGATACCACCTGGAGCAGATAAATTGCCCAGATGAGGCCAGACTAGATTATAGAATCATGAGAAATAATTTTAAAAATTGATGTTCTTAACCACTAAGTTTTGGGATTGTTTGTTATGAAGCAATAGGTAACTGAAAGAGTGGGTATAATGCAGAACCTCTCCCAATATGATGCTTAGAAATGAGATAAATTATAACAAAAATATTTCAAAATACATAGCTCAACTGACATAAAAGCAAAAGTGGCAGAAGTGAAGAAGAATGTGAAAGCCAAAACAATAATCTGGTGAGCTGGGGATGCAGCAGCCTTAATGACTACAGACTGGTTGTCAATACAGAGATAGGCCTTATGGCAAAGGATTAGGCTCCATTGCTCCCCTGGGGCCCTGAGCCACTCAAGGTAAAGAATTAGAACTGGTACCTCTACATATATAAATCTGGGACTCCCAATTCCAGACATTAACAAGGAGACTTGGGTCTGCCCATGGTGCTACAAGGGGAAAGAAAAAGACTCCCATGATAAATAAAAAACACAAATGCACCATGAGTTTGAAACACATTCATGCCATTCAAAGTCATATAGTAACATATAAACTGAGAAATTAATTTAATAGTTGGTTATAGATCCATATTATTCCTGCTATAGGTAGCAAAATGGAAATGGAAATGTGAAAGTATCACTTGGAATTCCTACAGAGGAAAAAGATTTCTGAAGATGAGATGAGACTTAGAAAATACACAAGGAAATGATTCATCAAAAATGAGAGTTTGTGGGGAAAATTACAGGATAATTAGTACTATAAGAACTTCGGAGAATAGAAAATCTTAAATATTTTATAAAATAAATACATTTAAATGACAAAAAGATAAAAAGTAAATATAAAATGATAAGAAAAGAGCAACGCTATGAAAAATTAACAATTTGGAAAAAGCAAATAAAAATGTAGCAATATAAAAGACACATGAGGAGTTATGAAAGATAAGAGAATAACCAAGATGTTTTGTATTCAATATGCATTCTAAAAGGAGTAAGTAGATTGTCAATATTTGAAAGACAATGGCGAGAATTTATCAGAATTGATAATAGTCATAAATTATAAGTAAAAAGAAGAACAATAAGGCACAGGAAGGATTTATATTTAAAATAAATCCACACATAGGCACTGCAGAACACCAAAGAGAAAAAATTAAAGCAATTTGAGAGAAAGAAGAGTTACCCAATAAAGAAGTCAGTATTGCATGGACAGCAGGCTTCCTAACATCAAGAGTTTAGGTCAGAAGACGATGGAATAGTTGTGAGTCTTCAAAACATGGATAAAAATAATTGCCAATATAGAGTTCTACACTAGTTTCAGTATCATTTAAGAAAATGATATTTGTCATTTTCGGGGGGAAAATTTTCTACTCACTTTCTTTAACAGTTCCTAAATGTTGCATGGCAATAAAAAGGAAATCGAGCCCAGAGGAAAGAGTAGGGTGTAGGAAACAACTGTGACCCAAGAAAAATGTAAACACAAAGGCAAATCAAAATATATATGATTATAAATTTATAATAGTAATCAGTAGATGGTTAAAAAAACAGAGGAAAACAAAATTACTGTTTATATGCATTTTGTAATATACAAAGTAATACTACATGTTTCATTATATGGATACATGTTTGTAAATATAAATGTATGTAAAGGTATAAAAACATGTAAGTTATTGATTCACACGGATAATTAGGATTTGGTAATTTCTACAAAGAAAGAGAAATAGTTTTAATTTATCTGTGAATTAAATTATCTGTAATATTTTATTTTTAAGCAAAATAAAAATCATAAGGGAATTTGAAAAATATTAGCACATTAAATCTGTATAATGGATATATTTTGGGTATGTTATACTATTGTCTTTAATTTTCATCATATTTACAATTTTCATTTTTAAAAATAAAATTTATGATTATGTATATATATATGTATAATATAGAAAAATCCTGTAAGGAGATACTTTATATATTAACTATAGAAGTTATTGTCAATGGAGGGATTACACAGGATTCTTTCTTTTGTCTGCTTTTGGATATTTTAAATATTGGCTACAGTGAGCACAACATTGCTTTTACATACACGTACACACCTTGAAGAGTATTTTTTCAAAATGACTCATAGGATACCAAAGTAGAAAGTTAGCTCAGAGATCATCTGCTCCAGTTCTTTCTTGTAGAGATGTAGTAATTTACAGTGATAGAAATCAGATCAACCATTGATTCCAGCAGGAGTGGGGTTAATAATTGGAAAGGGAACTTCTTGGGATGATGGCAAGGTTTTATATCTTGATAGTGGTGTGAGTTAAATATACGCATTTTCCAAAACAAATTGAAATGTGCTTGGGATCTGTGCATTCCCTATATGTGTATTACACCTTATTTTTACAAATCTAAAAATATAAAGAATATAGGCTCTTCTAAGTCATGGTATCTTCTTAGAGTTCTGTCATAGGTGAAAGACAGCAGATAATAAGTAAAATCTCAAAGTGGTGGTATAACCATCAATGACTTGCAAATCAACATTATGTAAATCATCATTATTATTTCCGTGTTGAGCTCTGGGAAATAAAATGTGTGAATGGGCCTAAAAAGGGAGGACACATTAATTCAAAGTTAGGTTTTTAAGAGAATACTTGGAAGAGTTGAGTTAATTGTCCCCATCAGCCGCAGCAAGTTGTCAATGTAGCATACATCATATAAGCAGTGACTTGCGTGCTTTTTAAAGATATACTGTGACAGCAATTACATCTCAGATATCCAAAGTTCTGTTGTTACTAGAGAGTGATGATCTTCTCCCAGCGCATTGTCCAGGTTCTTATGTCTCAAACAAAGAATTGAGCAAGACACCAAAATACAGCAGAAAAGAAAAGCTTTTTTAGAAGGGAAAATACACTTCCAGATGTGGAAGCGGGCCTGAGAAAGAGAAGCGTGGTTCAAAAGGCCTGGTAACAAAGCCTTCGGGGTTTTTATCCCTTTTTGCTGTGGGTGTTACTTTTCTTAGAGGAGTGGGCTTCCTTGATTGACAACTAAGATTGACAGGACTCAGTGATTCATCATTTTGCTTTCCGAGCATGTTTGTTCCCAGAATTCAGTCTGTTATAGTGATATTAATGAACTTCTGGGGATATGCATCATATTATAAAGATGGTATAAAGATGGCTCAGGTGAGTTGAAGGTTCATTGCGCAGGTGCGAGTGACTGGCTTATACTGGTACCTAGTTAAAAAATGCCTTTTGTCTTGCTTAATTGCGGACAGATTAGAGCATACTCCTTCTAGGATAAGATGACCTCAGTGTCTTTGCAGGCAGACTCAAAAACCCCTAACTTTCCTGCCTAGCTCTTTTCTAACCATCATGAACCCCCTTATTATTAGTATGGATGCTGAGAGACAGGAGGTCTCTTCTCCTGTATCTGCTGCCTGCTGAGAATGGCTGTAGTCCCTGCCTACAGGGGTTTTCCCTTTCTGCCTCAGTCAGGGTTGGGTCTTGGGTTTCTTGCTGAAGTGCCACCTGAGGCCCTAGACAAGGAAAAGAAGATACAAACTTGTCATTTAAATCATATATCTATTAATATCTATTATTGATTTGCCTATTAAGCGAGTAAAGGGAAATAGGCTTGGTTAATATATTTCTTAAAGAGTAAAAAAGACCTTTGGCCTAAAGTCCCTTCCTCTTTCAGACTGTAATGGCCCTGTCTGACTTAACACCATTTCTGCTTAACAGTGGACTGATGACCCTTATCAATAGCCAGAGGATCTGAGTTGCCAGGGCAATTATCAGGATTTGAGGGAGAGGGCCTTTTTCCAAAGAAAAGAGGAGAGAAAACTTAACTAGATTTACTAAAAAGATTAACTCTGCAAGAGAAGTTCCATTTCATTTCCTACTAAAAGATTAAGAATTTTACAAGTGATGTCCCTTCTCACTATGATAGTCAAATAAGATATTCCTAGGCCTCTTTGAAGGATGAGAAATATTTAAATGGTGGTACAGTGGTCCCCATTTACTCATAGTTTGCTTTCCTGGTTTCAGTTACTTGATGTCAACTGTGATCCAAAAATATTAAATGGAAAATATCAGATATTTTGAGAGAGACCACATTCACATAACTTTTATTACAGTATATTATTATAATTGTTCTATTTTATTATTGGTTATTGTTGTTAATTACTTTCTGCATTTAATTTATAAATTAAACTTTATCATAAGTATGTATGTAAAGGAAAAAACAACACATATAGAGTTGGATACAATCCACTTTTTCAGATATCCACTGGGGGTCTTAGAACATTTCCTCCTGAAGATAAGGGGCAACAACTGTATTAAAAAGATAGTCCTTGCTAAACCTATGAAGATGGCTTATCTAACAAATCTAACAAGTGGTTTCTCCTTGTCTTTGGCAGGGGTACAAGACGAAGTCAAGGAACAGAGAAATGGAAGAAAATGCCAGTCCTCAGCATTACAGCTTCTCCTAGTCCTGGAGGAGAGCAGGAAGACAGCAGTGCTGCTGTGGAGGGTGGGGGTGGGGGGAGGCAAGTCCCACGGAAGGACTGGAATCCTTTGCGCTAATTCCTCCAGCTGCATTTTGTTCTGTTTACTTTCAGAAAAAGAAAAAAAAAAGTTTCTATTAATTTGGTGGGGTGACCCACATTAACATATGTTTCAGGCACTATTCCTGTAATTTCTGTCTTTTCTCTCACAACTTTGCGCCAGAGTCACGGTTTAACGTTCACATGTGTATCCTGGGCCCTGTCTGCTTTCTCGGTTATTTCACAAAGCTGGTCTTATAGTGGTTTCTTCAAAGAAAGGAAAGAAGACAATTGTTTGATAGGCTACAGGCTAAATTTCAAGAATCACCAAGCACGATGTCAGTATAATCCACAGACAAAGGAGGCAGGATAAAAAATGGGCAAAACTCTCAGGAATCACTTGGAAAAAGGTCAGGATAATGAACTGAAAATGGTATGTTCTTCAGGGATTCCCAAGGTACAGTTTTGTTCCATGTGGTTAATAAGAAAATGGAAGCAGGACTTAATCCAGAGCAGAGTACAGAGGTGAAACAAGGAAGGCAGACCCTCAGAGTCCTCAGGTCTCTCCCCTCACCGGCAGGAGAGCACAGCTTTCACACCCACTCTCAGCAGAGCTTGCTTGGTTCCTGAGGTCTTTACCACATGCTTCAGTATGGATCCTCCCAGTGAGATGCAGCTTTGCAACACCTTTAAAATGGATGGCACTTTTCTAGGTCTTTTAATGAAGAGAGGGGGCTGCTGAATTTATGATTCAAACATATGCCTGTGAAATTAAAAGTTCCACTTGAAATCTCTCTCTCTCTCTCTCTCTCTCTCTCTCTCTCTATATATCTCAATCTATCCATCTATCTATTCTATCTATATATCTATATCTATGTCATTACCCAAGGTTTGATGGCCCATAGAGCAGATTCTCACTTGAAGTTAGAGACAATTAGAGGTCTTGCTTGCCATTTTGGCTTTCTGGTCTGCTTTTAAATGATGCAATTTGCTCATGCCAAGTCCTAGGCTAATATAATAACTGGTCCCCTCTCCCAGCAGATCATCGATTATGGCTTTTACGGGGAGCAGCAGTATTAATAAGCTAAGACGCCAGTGGTAGTGTGGGCACAGGGATGAAGGGCCCAGGAGGAAATCAGAAATTGTCACAAATGTCTATCCCAGAGCCAACATGAATGACCCTCATGAAGCAAGATAACTACCTCCCACAGCTTCCCTGGGTTCGAAAACTATTCTTTTTTTTTTTCCTGTAGAAACTGTTATCATTTCTTGCATATCTTCTTAAATCCATCTTTCTTAAAAGGGCTTTAGAATGTAAGTTATTTATATATTTTTTCTTAGGAGAGGAAGAAAAGCAATAGATCAAAATGAGTATTTCTGAAATAAAAGCATGTTCTCCTTTCTAAATTTTCCATGGAATTCTTCAGTTTTACCCGTTCCTCTATGGAAAATTTACCTTCTTAACTTCCTATGAATTTTGTGTTGGCCTTTCTGAATTTGCTGCCTCAATGCATGGCTTATTCGGTATATTGGAATCATCAACAAGTTATAGTTCTGCATATGTAATACCTTTTAACATTCCATGTATTTTTTTAACCCAACAGCAGTGCTATTTAAGTGACCTCATGATTTTGGAACATGGCCATTTCTTCTGCCATTTATTCTATAGTCCTCTACTGCCATTAGATACTGCTTTCTAAAAACAAACAAACAAACAAACAAAAGAAAAGCCTCATTTTACATAATTCAAGAAATGATGCCATATCAGTACTAATAGTTTGTATATTTTATGTCATCTTAATAACTTAATTGAAAGTCACCATTATTCTTTTGAAGTACTTGACAAGTGCAATCTGCTAGGAGCACAAACGTTAGTGCTACTCACGCTCATTAATGAGTTACAGTTCAAAACACATGAGAGAGAAAAGAGGGGTCAAGATTTTTTAATGGATAAAGATGAAAGAGACCCAGTGTCCCAAGAACAGTTGGGACTGGAATTATTTCAGTCCTTGTATTCTCCTTATCATCCAGGGCAGCCATTTTATTCATTCATTTTAAAAATGGGAGGAAGTAGTTCTCTGCCTGAAAACTATAGAAAAAGGAAAGTAAGCTTTGTATCCAGGAAACTAAGAGAATGAAGATTAAATATTCCCAGCCCCACTCCTGAATTTGTTTAAACTTCATTTGGTGATTATATTGTGTTTTCATTTTTGTTTTATTATGCTTTTGATTGCTATTGGGCGGTTAAATTTTATGCTTTAAAACAAATAATGAAGTTAATTTCCATTTTAATAGTAAAATATTAAAAATCTAGCTTTGGGCCAGATTGAAGACACGTCAACAAAGGAAACTTTTATTTCAATGGAGCTGTCATTGCATAGGCTGTAAAATGAAAAATTTGAAAGCTGATTGTTTCTCTTGTACATGAATTCTGGATGTTAATTTCCAACCACACTACAGCTTAACTATGTGGCATGAGGGGTTACAGGAGGGAATCGGGGAGGAAAATAGCCCATGTTAGTCATATTTGCATACAGAGGGTTGAAGTAGGCTTTCAACATAATAGTTCTAATTTAAAAAGTACTCGTTGTAGGAGAGACAAAGGGACTTGTCCTCTAGCTGGTAACTATTCAGATGATGGACAAGTCTTCTTTCATAAAAACTTACAAAGGAGGCCTCCGAAACACTGTCTGTGATATGGGGTCACATATTAGTCACCGCAGCTAATTGTAAATCTTTCTATGAAACACTGAAAAGCCTCTTTGTGAATTAATACAGTTCTGCTTGATGCGCTTGATTTAAAATGACATTTCTCTGTATGTGGTGCATGTCGGCTTTGCTTTGAAAAATAACAAAGTTAGCAGAATATGTTTAATCTATTTTCTTGGGGAATAGGGTTTTTATCATATGATTCATTAAGGATTTGCCTTACCCCGACATTTGTGATATAAAGGAAAATCAGAAAAAAAGTAATTTTCTTGATCAAGATATGTTTTTACTTAATGCAAACAAATGTAGTCTGTTGCTTGCAAGGAAAAAAGTGTCTTCTGATACCTGGTATAAGATGCTAAATAGAATAATACGTGCCTCTTGTGTTAAACCAGCATTTAATTGCTGGACTGCTTCTAAATCTGTTTGTTTCTTTTCATCTGTACCATACACTAAGAAACTTAAACAACTGTTGCCTTCATACTATATTTGTTAGAGCAGAATACAAATAAAATTTGTTTGAGAGGATAAGGTAGAATTATCTGTGTTTTGTGAAATTTGTTCCTTAGTCATGAGCAATTAATAACTCAAAATGTTCATTTAATACTATATATTTGGTTGCAAATATGTATTTAAAACTGCCCTGTTAAATCAACTTTAACTACCAAGTTAAAGTTAATGTAAGACTGGTTAATGTTTTGGCCATGTTTTCCAAAATTTAAACTACAGGGTAGTTTGTACAGACACAAATCCCAACATGCAATTTTTGCTCTGAATACTAGATAACTTTTCTTCCTAGCAGCAGCCTCTGAGGTGCAAGATATAAGTTGTTGATATAAAGACTATGGTTCCATGAACTATCCTCTAGAATCCATCATCTATTTCCAGAATTCTTTTTGTAGCACTTTTCATGTGCCAGTCATTGTACTGGCTATGTGATCACCACAGCTATGATCTTCCTCAGTCTATTGTTGATGGAACTATGATTGAATTACACAATTGTGAAGAATTTGGAAATGGATCAACAAAAATCACTTTAGGAAAAACTCAATGTTCTTATGAAAATAGAAATCTGTATTCCATCACCTTTAATTCCCTCTATCTCATAGAAGACATGCTATCCAGTTCGTGGTTCTAGAAGGCAATAAAGTCAATCCCTTTATCTAAGAAAGCCAGAGATTTAATAGTTAAAGGATAGATTTTTTAAACTGTTGCACCAGAGAAGCATTTTCCAGTAAGTAAACAAGATTTGGAGAGAAAAAATTGTGGGCAAGACAGTCTTATGCTACAATGAGCAACCTCAACACAAAGGCTTCAGAGCGACAGTAAAGAGAATTTGACATGATTCAAGCATGGCCAGATGCAGTTTTATAATATACTTCCAATTTTTCATCTCTTTGCCTGTCATTCTTATGTTTCTCCCCCAATACTTCTGCCCCTTTGCTGTACTTTAACCAAAGATGTTATTAAAATTTGCTTAACTTACTGGTGGTTCTCAGACCAAAAAGGATTTTGATACCTGTTTAAGATATTCTTGCTGGGACTCTGACCCCGTTGTGGGACTTTGAGAAAAAAAGTACCTCGTTGCTTGGTTCGGAAGATGGAAATACCACTACATTCCTGAACTCTTATAAATTTAAATTTGAATAAAGTGGCAAGGTATTATATTTTACCATTTGGAAAAGCATTTGGTAAATTACCCCCATTAAATTCTGCTGTTTGATACTGTAGCAAATGGCCCACCTTGGGCCCAAAACTCTTAACCAAAACTCTTATCCTTACAATTGGATAGTAAATATGAAATTCTTTCTACTGAAATATATTTTAAATTTTGCTCCTAAATTAAGTGCACATGAGAATAAGAGAAAATTGTTTTACAGAATTTACAGAAGTGGGAGATTTGACTTCTTAAAACATGTAACAAAATATTGATGAACACCTAGATTACTTTTTTTCCTTCTTTCCATTCTTCCTTTCTTTTTCTTTTTTCTTTCTTTCTTTCTTTCTTTCTTTCTTTCTTTCTTTCTTTCTTTCTTTCTTTCTTTCTTTCTTTCTTTCTTTCTTTCTTTCTCTAGGTGTCTTCATAAGCCTTCCTTCCTTCCTTCCTTCCTTCCTTCCTTCCTATGTGGGAAAAATATAGAAGGGAGATGAAATTAAACTGTGGCTATTAAACAAGTTAACAAAGGCTGTACCTTACTTATCCTAGAAGACAAATATCAGAGCAATGGGAAAGCTAATCATGTTTGCAAAATTATTGTGAGAACTCTTTTTGGTTCAGAAATAATGCCTACTTCCTATTGAATGAGTGGGGCGGGGGGCGGGGGCTGTTCGTTAATCCTTCAAACAAAGCAAGGATTGTGTTTTGATAATACCATAGTTTTCCTTTTTATCCAAGGGTAGGTGATGACAGAGGCTGTTCAGGTAGGATTGGTTGGCTATTCAGGGAATAGAATGCTGAACACAGTGAAAGTTGGCTTTTCACTTGCATCACAGTCCCTCGCGAGTTGAGCAGCTTTCCTATAGGCAGTGATACAGGAGCCCCTGCTTCTTCCATCTTGCGATGCTGTCACCTTTGGCATGTTTTCTTCCAGATCACCATGAAACAAGAAGAGAGAATGGAGGTTGTTATGAGCCAAGCACCGAAGGGACTGCAAAACTGCTATCCATCTTACATGGCTACAACTCAATCACCTGGTCCCAATCTAAATCCTGGAATATGTAGGTTGGCCAAGTACCTGGCAAGAAAATGAAATGTGTTCGATGATTACCTAGCATTGTTTTTTTCCTTGGAAGCAGAACAACTTTCTCCTTTGAGACATAGCTGTGTGCTTCCAACAAGCCCTCTATTTCCGCAGTTCCACTCCCCAAGACCAAATGAGCCACACTGGCTTAGGGAGGGAATGTCGTCTGGACATCTGAGATAATCAAAACAATCCCATTTGGGGTAGAGGGCTTAACAATGGGATGGAAAAATGTGAATGCTGTTCTGTATTGTCTTAGATAGAAACTTAAGGATGTAATAGAATAAGCCTTCGATTGACTTCTATCAACTGTTGTCCTGGAACTGTTATTTCATGGTATTAAGAAAATCAATATTAAAAGTCAAATGAAGAAAGGAAAAAATATAAACCATTATTAACCGTAAATAAAAAGAAAAAGAAAAAGAAAATCAAAAGACATGGTCCAAGAGAGGTGTTTACATCTGATTTTTCTATGTCTCAAAAACTACAGCTTCAGAACTGCAAAAACATTTCCCTGCCTGGAGATAGGAAATGGATCCTAATGTTCATCTATATTTTCTTTCTTTTTTTTTTTTTTTGATCTCTGTGTGTGTTCATGAGTGCGATTTAATTTTTACAGCTGATCTTTAA